AGCGCGGGCCAGCCTTCCTTGGCGATGCCACACATGCCTGCCACCGTCCCTGGGGCCCCCTGGCACCAGCAGCAGGGGACCCCTCCCCCTTTCCCGGGGGCCCCCTACTACTCACAAATGGGTACCCCTCCCCCTTTCCCTGGGGTCCCCTACTACCCGCAACAGGGTCCCCATCCTCCTTTCCCTGGGTCTCCCTACTACCCGCAACTGGGGACCCCTTCAGCTTTCCCTGAGATCTCCTGCTACCCGCAGCAGGGGCCCTGTCCTCCCTTCTCTGGGGTCCCCTACTACCCTCAACTGGAGACCCCATCCCCTTTCCCTGGGGTCTCCTACCACCCGCAGCAGGGACCCCGTCCTCCTCTCCCTGGGGTCCCCTACTACCCGCAACTGGGGACCCCTTCCCCTTTCCCCGGGGGCCCCTACAACCCCCAACTGGGGACCCCTCCCCCTTTCCCTAGTGGCGCCTACAACCCGCAACTGGGGAACCCTCCCCCTTTCCCTGTGGACCCCTACCAATCGCAACTGGGGACCCTTCCCACTTTTCCTGGAGTCCCCTGCTACCATAAACTGGGGACCCCTCCTCCTTTTCCTGGTGACCCCTGCTACCCGCAGTTGGGGAATCTTCCCCCTATCCCTGGGGTCCCCTGCTACCCGCAGATGGCGAATCCTCACCCTGTCCCTGGGGTCCCATTCCAGCCTCAGGAGGCCACTCCTCCCTCTTTAACAGAGACCCCATCCCAGCGTCAGGAGGATAGCCCTCCCCTTTGTAATGAGAACTCCTCCCAGATTCAGGAGGGGAGTCCTCCCGCTTCAACTGAGACCTCCTCTGTGCCAAAGAAGGGGACTCCTCCCGCTTCCCTTGATACCTCCTCCCAGGCTCAAGAGGGGAGTCCTCCCTCTTTCCCTGAGAGATCCTTCCAGTCTCAGGTGAGTCCTCCCCTTTTTACTGAGAACTCCTCCCAGACTCAGGACGGGACTCCTCCCCCTCCCCCAGATACCTCCTCCCAGTCTCAGGAAGAGAGTCCTCCACTTTTTACTGAGACCTCTTCCCAGCCTCAGAAGGGGACTCGTCACCCTTCCCTGAGATTTCCTCCCAGACTCAGGAGGAGAATACTTCCCTTTTTAATGAGAGCTCCTCCCAGATTCAGGAGGGGAGTCCTCCCCATTAAGGGAGACCTCCTTCGAGCTAAAGAAGGGGAGTCCTCCCCTTTCCCCTGATACCTCCTCCCAGCCTCAGTAGGAGAGTCCTCCCCCTTCCCCTGAGACCTCCCAGCCTCTGGAGAGGACTCCTCCCTCTTTTGCTTTGGTCCACTCCCAGCCTAAGGAAAGGAAAGGGCTCCTCCCCCTTTCCCTGGGGTCCCAAGCTACCCACAGCTGGAGACTCCTCCCCCTTTCCCTGTGGTCTCCTGTGCCCTGCAGCTGAGGACTCTTTCCCCTGTTCCTGGGGTCCCCTGTGCCCCACAGCTGGGGACTCCTCCCCCTTTCCCTGTGTTGGTCCCCTGGTACAATTGGCTGGGGACTCCTCCCCCATTCCCTGGCGTTCCCTGCCCCCCACAGCAGTTTCCAGTCTTGCCTAATTCTTGCCTGGAGCCTCTGTAAGGATAATTGCTGTTGGATGCTGGTAGCTCAGACTGGTCATTACAGCTACTCAACAGAGTAGGATATAAGGACCAGAGTTCAAAGCCACCA